ACCATTCATATTCAGAAGTATTTTTGTCTTAGAAACTGACAAAAGTTTCTGTGCAAATTGGAGATATGTTATTTTGGTAACTGCAGACAGCAAACAATATGCCCATTAAACAATAACTTCTCCTTCTTTCTCCTCCCAACCCCTGATAACAACCATTATGCTTTCAATTTCTGTGAATTTTACCACTCTACACACCTCAGATACACTGAGTGGCCAGGTCATTATGACCACCCCATCAGTACTTCATTGGGCCACCTTTTGCCTTCAATACTGCGGAGATTCTTCTTGGCATTGACTCCATGAGATGTTGAAAGATGATGCGAGGAATCTGACACCATGCCTGATGAATAGCACTGTCCAGTTCTGTGATAATTGATGGTTGTGGAACCAGCTTCCTGATGGCTCTTTTAACTTCGTCCCACAAATGCTCAATTGGATTGAGATCTGGTAATGGTGGGGGCCACCTAAGCAAGGTAAAGTCTCCCTCATGTTCTTGAAACCACTCCTGCACAATAAGAGCACCATGGCATGGTGCATTGTCTTGTTGGAAGAAGCCATCTCCATTGGGATACACCATCAACATGATAGGATAAATTTGATCAGCAATGATACTTAGGTATGTTGTGCTATTCAGACGTTGTTCCACATGAATTAAAGGACCCAAATCATGCCAGGAAAACATGCCCCAAACCATAACACTGCCCCCACCAGCTTGAAGTGTTGTACTCATAAACGTGGGGTGCATGCTTACATGTTTCCGCCAAATTCTCACTCTGCCATCTGCATGATGCAACTGGAAACGTGATTCATCGGACCACATGACTTTTTTTTTTCCAATCCTTGTGTTCCTGTGCAAATTGGAGATATGTTATTTTGGTAACTGCAGACAGCAAAGGTGTTTGAACAGGACTTTGGCTTCCATATCCCATACGATATGATATAATATGTGTACAGCTAATTTGCCTACAAATGTCAGGTGGTCATAATAATCTGGCCACTCAGTGTATATGGAATCATACAGTACTGTCCTTTTATGACTTACATCACTTAGAACGATGTTCTCAAGATTTATCAAAATTATCTTCATTCTTAAGGCTGAATAATATTCCATTGTTTGTACATATCACATCTTGCTTATCCATTCCTTTACACACATTTTATAAATGACCACGGCCAGTGGGGAAACAGAAAATGAAATTGGACTTCCTTTTCTTTCATGACAGCAGTGATTTTTGGACACTCCTGGTCTAGCCCCAACTTCTTCCTCTGTTTGGAAGTTATGGCATCTCCGGAGTGTCCAGGAGAACTGCCCACATCTCTGGTTACAAAGCATGGCTGAGCACTTGTCTCCTGCTCCGTCCTTCCTCCTTCCCGGCCATCAGGGCAGGGCCCGGTAGAGCACCAGAGGGCCTCGAGGGAGAGGTGCTCGTGCTCAGTGGACACCGGCGGATGGAAAATAGCATGTGACACACTCTGCAAGTGGGAAATGAAACTTTGTAAGGGACTTTTCCACCCATTGCCTCTGAAGTCCCCCAGGACCCACAGCCCAGGATTCTGGTTGCTTCGTGTTTAACTTCCTCCTGCTGGATCAGCCTTCTGTCCGGTGATCAGTAGAATACCTACTTGAGGCCTCCATGTCTATCACGCGAGTAAATGCTCCCCTACCTCATTCCCCTTCTTCTACTGGGTGCCGGCATGTTGAAGCTCTGGATCCTTTCCTGGGACCACTGAGAGGGCACGTGAATGTGCCATTAATGGCTCATGCCACCAACCAGCAAAGATTTGGGAAAAGTCAACTTTTTGGCAGAGAAGGGAGGGGCCAGATGCTCCCAAGTTGTGTTGTGTCTCAGCTTCTCTCTCAAACGCTACAGGAGGAGACCTGGGCCCCAAGGGCTCCTTCTACCACAGTCTTGTGTAACTTGGATTCTTTCCCACACCTGGGGCTCTGAACTGTGAATGTTGTTGTGAATGCAGGTCCAGGAGCCAGGAGCAGAAGGGCTGAGTTGAATCTAGGGTTAGACTGGGTGCCAAGCATGAGAGTCTAGGAGCAGAGCATTCTAACCATTGAACCAAGGCTCTGCAGCTAGATAGCAGCCTGTAGAAAACGGGTATAGTTATAACTGCTCAGAGACAGGCAGTGAGTTAGCGTGAGGCCTTCGGTTTGTGCGATTAGCTAAAGTCAAAGGTTAGAACCTTCCAGGAGATAGAAGTCCTGGAAGCTACAGACAGAATGTGGGTAGAGAGGAAATGAAAGAGGATGAATCCTACCATCCTTGTGACCCAGCTTCCTTCTCAGCACTCCACACCACACTCCACAAAGTGTGGTGTGGAGTTTCCTTATTCAGAGAAGCGGCTCCAGTCTGAGGCTAGGCAGCCAGAGAGAGAGAGCGGGGAGGGCCTATAAGAACAATGGGCTAGCCAGATAAGGCTGAGCAGGGAGGTCAGATCCTCTCAATTATCCCCTGAACATGTAGAACACCCCCCCCCCCCCCAACACACACACTCCCCACTCATTTAGCTTCCAACCCCGGTCCCTGACACCACTTTGCCATCTGGCTTTACTTGCTCAGCCTCAACAAAGCTGGGCTAGCTTTCTAGTCCTATGGCCAGAATTGTTTTGCACTTTGGGTAAGGTGTCAATCATCCTTCATTCATGCCTTTGCTGTGGTAATGAATGAGGATTTCCGAAGGCAGTGGGAAGAAGCAGTAACTTCTGGAAGACAGATCCCAGTCCACAGACTGTAGGTTTCAGACTTGAGAAATAATCAGCCATCAGTTCTTCCATTCATTTGTTTTTCAAGGACCCATAATCAATGGATGGGTACATCCATCCACCCACCTATTCATCCATTCCATCCATTCATCCATGTAATTATCTGGTCTGACTTCCTTTTCTTTTTCCTCCCTTCTTTCCCTTCTTTTCTTCTTTCATCTCTTTCCTACCTTCCAAGAAATATATGTTTAGAATCTGTTATATATGAGGTTTCTCAGATTTGGCAGACTTCTTCAAAAGATGAGAAGCTTCCATTTGATAAAGAAATGTTGTATCATCTAAGATGCCTTAATAATAGAAATTATAATATTTTATCACAATGGTTTTCTTTTAAAAATATATTTTATTGATTTTTTAACAGAGAGAAAGGGAGAGGGATAGAGAGTTAGAAACACTGATGGGAGAGAAATGTTGATAAGCTGCCAAAACCGGTTTGGCTCAGTGGTAGAGTGTTGGTCTGTGGACTGAAAGGTCCCAGGTTCGATTCCGGTCAAGGGCATGTACGTTGGCTGTGGGCACATCCCCAGTAGGGGATGTGCAAGAGGCGGCTGGTCGATGTTTCTTTCTCATCGATGTTTCTGGTTCTCTATCCCTCTCCCTTCTCTCTGTAAAAAAATCAATAAAATATATTTAAAAAAAAAGAAATATCAATAAGCTGCCTCCTGCATACTCCCTACTGGGGATATGCCTGCAACCAATGTACATGCCCTTGATCAGAATCGAACCTGGGACCTTGCAGTCCACAGGCCGACACTCTATTAACTGAGCTGAACCAGTTAGGGCCACAATGGTTTTCTCTTTCTTTCTTTCTTTCTTTCTTTCTTTCTTTCTTTCTTTCTTTCTTTCTTTCTTTCTTTCTTAAAATTTCTTTATTGATTAAGGTATCACATATTTGTCCTCAACCCCCCATTCATTCCCAACCTCCCTAGTGTCCTTGACCACTGGTTAGGCTCATATGTATGCACATAAGTCCTTTGGTTGATCTCTCCCTTTTACCCCATCCTCCCTTTGAGGTCCAACAGTCTGACCTATGGCTCCTTATCTCTGGGTCTGTTCTTGTTCATCAGTCTATGTTGTTCACCATTTCCCCTGGATGAGTGAGATCATGTCCTACTGGAAATATACTTACAGGGATAAAAAATGAGACAAGCAATAATCGTTATGCTGAAAGGCATATGAGTCAGTCTGTAGTGAGTTCTTTCTAGGTCAACAGTTCTTTTGAGACCCAATTTCAGTGTCAAACAGTTCCTTATGTGTACATGTCAGCAATGATATTTCAGTTCTGGATGGTGGAAAAATGATGGTAATGCAGGTCCAACCCTCTCTGGTTTGGTCCTGGGCATCCCACAATGGTTTTCTTACTGGTCTCTGCTTCCAGGATTTTCACACCTTAATCTATGTTTCTCACCACCATCAGAGTAATCGTTTTTACAGTGTTCTCGTCCTTGTCTCTCTCTCCTGCCTGAAGTCTTTCATTGGCTCCGTATCACCCTGAGTCAGAGTCCAAGCTTCTTAACATAATCCATATGGATCTTCATGACCTGACCCTAGGTGTCTCTTTAGCCCTGCACCCTCCCTGCTACTGTCATATACTTTACACACTTTACTGTCATATGCTTACAGTTGGCCTGGCATTCCATGCTGTCTTATGTCCCTATACTTTTAAATATGTCAGTCCCTCTACCTGGAACTTTTTACCTTTACTCCATTCTCTGTACTTCCTTTCAATCATGCATATGCTTCTATTGTTATAATCATTACCCTGTATTGTAAATTATTTGCGTGGGTCTGTCTTTCCTTTCAGACTGTGAAGTGCTTGAGTGCAAATACTCTGAGTTACTCATCTTCGTGGCTCAGCCCTAGCACAGTGCCTGGTACTTAGAAGGCAGTCAATATGCATTTGTGGGATGAATGGGCGGGTGGATAAATGATGGAGAGGGGATTAAAGAAGCAGGATAGCCTTGGAACAAGATGGTTAAGGTATCCAAGTAACAGACTCCCCCCCCTCCCAAAAGAAGGAGACAAATAACCTCTTTCTGGAAGTTCAGACCTTTGAGGGAAGCCCGAAAATGTGACATAGACCAGGCAAGGTTTCTAAGTCAGGAATGGGGAACTTGGGGATTACCTGGTGATCCTTTGTGGGACTCACTTCCCTTTTCTTCCAGATAAAAGTTCCTTGGTGAGAGAGCTGGCCAGAAGCACCTGTTTGCAGGGGTAAGAGTGCAGGATGAAGACTGCAGAGAGTGAGATCCCCGATGCTCACTTCTCTGTAGATAAACAGAACATCTCCCTCTGGCCCCGAGGCAAGCACCAGTCCCTACTCAGAACCCGCTCAATGTTCTCTGCCTAAACCCGAGTTTGCTGACCCTTCAACAAATGTTGTCTTCTCTTCCAACAGAGCCTCCTCCCAAGATGGGTTCGTCTCCAGTTCTGAGGAAACTTTGCACAGTTCGTGCTGCCTTCGTCATCCTGACACTGGTCCTTCTCACCTCTGTCGTGCTGCAGGCCGTTCTCTGTAAGTCCTCTGGCTTCATCATGTGGCCAGCTCCTTCTCCAGGGCCAGTCAGCTTCCACAACATCCAGCCCTCTCTTTCCTGCTCTCCAGTGGTCTCTCCCGCCTGTGGCTTTTTCATTTGCCTCGTTTCATTTGCCTCTTTCCTTGTGCATTCACAGGTCCTCAATAAAATGAACTGCTGCTCTTTCTTTCCCAATTCCGGGGAGATTTTCCTGAATGGGATCAGCACTGGCATGCTTGTGCTCAAAGATATACTCTTTGTTCTAAGGAAACATTCACCTATTTCTTTTTCTTTTCTTTTCGCTATATATTTCTTTTTAAAAAATATATTTTATTGATTTTTTACAGAGCGGAAGAGAGAAAGATAGAGAGTTAGAAACATCGATGAGAGAGAAACATCGATCAGCTGCCTCCTGCACTCCCCCTACTGGGGATGTGCTCGCAACCAAGGTACATGCCCTTGACCGGAATCGAACCCGGGACCTTTCAGTCCACAGGCCGATGCTCTATCCACTGAGCCAAATCGGTTTTGGCTCTTTTCACTATATATTTCTTTATTGATTTCAGAGAGGTAGGGAAAGGGATAGAGATAAAAACATCAATGATGAAAGATTGAGCCCACAATCAGAGCATGTGCCCTTGGCCAGAATCAAACTTGGGACCCCTCAGTATACAGACCGATGCTCTACCCACTGAGCAAAACCAGCCAGGGCCATTCATCTATTTCTTTATCCCATGTCATTTTTCTCCTCCCTCTCTGAGCTCTATGTCCCTTCGATCCAGAGAGAGCCTTGTGGGAAGTCCCAACAGTGAGTAAGATGTTTCCGACTCCACAAGAGATGGAATCCCAACTGAATACTCAACCCCAGATGACTAGAAGGATAACTTGACCAGGAAGTCAACAAATCTCCAGTATTCTTCCCCTCCCCAGAACCTCTTTGGGCTCTCTTCATTCTCCTGTTCCCATGAAGATCATGTCAAGGGAGCCTTCCTACTTCTTCATTGGATGTGTGGCTTATCTTTCTTCTTCTCCCAGCTGAGGCCCATGGCTTCTGCAGCTGGCGGAGCCTTCCTCTTCCACCAGCAAGCAGAGGAAAGGGACATCTGTCTTCTCCTTTTGTGGCTTTGGGACATATTTGATCTTAGACTTGGAGCCTCTGAGCAGAGTCTCTTCTGCTTGGAGGCCTCTTGGCTTACTTTTGTGAGGTTTAAAAAAATATATATTTTATTAGTTTCAGGAAGGAAGGGAGAGGGAGAGAGAGAGAGATGGAAACATCAGTGATGAGAGAGAATCATCAATCAGTTGCCTCCTGCACACCCCACACTGGGGATTGCACTCACAACCTGGGCATATGCCCTTACCAGGAATCGAATTGTGACCTCCTGGTTCATAGGCTGATGCTCAGCCACTGAGCTACACTGGCCAGGCACTCTTGGTTTACTTTTGGTCTCCTCTCTGGCACCAAACCTCTGACCTAATCAGAGTGTGACAACGGGAAGGATAAGAGAAGCGGGTAAATGGTTTCATAATTCTCTCTTTCTGTTTTCTCTGGAGAAGTCACTTCCAAGTTAGAAGTGTGCATGGCTGTCTCTTCTCATGGTCACAAAGAGCCTATGGACAGATGTGGGAGGGGTGGAGCTGCCCTCGCTGATGGCCACTGCAGGAGTCTTTGGAAGGAGAGGCTGGGAATCAAGTGATAGGGCACAGAGGCTTGTGGGGAGGGGGCCAAAGGTGTAGTTGAGGGCACCCCTTTACCAAATGTGCTCTGAACACTTAAAGAAAATTTAGAATTGGGTTATAATTCCTGGTTCTGTTGCCTGTGAGATCTTCTAATAGAGAGCCCATGTTTATCAATCTTTGCATTACTCACAGCTACCACAGTTGCTGGCACATGGTAGGTGCCATCACTTGTTTGTTAAGTAACTAGATTAGGAATGAACGTAGGATAAACAACAGCCCCTTGGGTTGGGTCCTTAGGAAACTCTTCCCTTCCTTTTATCACTCTGGTAACTACCCCCCCCCCCCCATCCCTAGGGATCCCTTTGACTGACCTCTTGACTTTCTCAAATCCAGATCCCTGGTTTATGGGCACACTGTCAGATGTAAAGACCAATGGCCAGTTACTGAAAGGTCGTGTGGACAACATCAGCACCCTGAGTTCTGAAATTAAGAGGAATAGAGTTGGCGTGAAGGCGACTGGCATTCAGGTCCAGATGGTGAATGCTAGCCTGGATCATGTGCGCTCTCAGATCCGGAGGCTGGAAACCGGTGTGAGGGCAGCCAATGCACAGATCCGGATACTAACAACAAGTTGGGAGGAAGTCGACAGTTTAAATGCCCAGATCCCAGAATTAAAAAGAGATTTGGATAAAGCCAGCGCATTAAATGTAAAGGTTCGAGGACTCCAGAGCAGTTTGGAGACCATCAGCAAGTTACTCAAAAAGCAAAGTAAGTGACTGAGAAAATAATATTGCAAGCTGATCTGTGGCCAATGGGACCTTGCTGGTCTCAAGCCTGAGGCCATTGGGGCTGGTGTGTGTGGACAGAAGCAGAAGAGGAGCAGGATAGATATGGCTGCAAAGCTAAGAAGAGAGGGCTCAGCATTGGGGTTTGGGAGGACTTAGGGGCTTTTCAGGAGAAAAGGAACCAGGACCAACTTGGGTTTCCACACAAAGGCACAGAAGATGGCATTAGGGAGTCTCTGTCCTAGCCCAAACCCAGCTATTTTCCATTATGTTTTTTACCTAGAGCTCAGGGTCTCAGCCACTTGTGATGGCCAATGGAGAATTGCTTCTCTCTCATGAGAGTCATCCTCTCTCACTTGCCTTCTCTGAGCCCAGAGACTCTACTAACCTAAGTCAGACTTTTAGGATCTGAAGGATTGACCCCAAATACCTAAACAAGGACTAAAGGATCCTAGAGCCCAGCCCCATTCATTGCTATCTCTGGGATCCCATTTAAGTGTCCCCACCTAGCCAGCACCCAGAGAAATAGGAACACCAGTGTTCACCTTTCACCCTGTTCTCCAGATGACATTCTACAGATGGTTTCTCAAGGCTGGAAGTACTTCGAAGAGAACTTCTATTACTTTTCTCATGTCCCAAAGACCTGGTACAGCGCCCAACAGTTCTGTAAGTCCAGGAATTCAGACCTGACCTCAGTGACCTCAGACAGTGAGCAGGTGAGTGTTGTTTCTACTAGAGGTATATTAGTAGCTGTGTTAGGTAGGATGGGCAAGATTATGCTGCCATGACAAAAATCCCCAAATATCAGTGACCTAACAATGAAGAATTACTTCTCACACTACATGTCCAACAAGGGCCTACAAGAGGTTTTGCTCATTGTGATTACTCAAGGAGACTTTATCTCACATATGTTTCTACAATTGCTGAGGCAGGAAAAGGAAACATGACAAATTGTGTATTGGCTTTGCCTGGAATTAACAGATCTCTACTCACATTTTCATTGTAAAGCAAATTATGTAATACTCCTAGCTTCAAAAAGGGTAGGAAAGAACCATCTTTCTGGATGCCCAGAAGACAGAAATATTTATAAACAGCATTATTGACACCACAGAACCCAAAAAGTCTTCTACCTGGTGAGGCAGGAAATCGAACCCCTTCCATTTGGAAGGTGTGGTAGTAGTGTATGGTCCTGAGGTCAGAGTCTAGAGTCCCAATCTTGCCTCTAGTCTCATATGAAACACAAGTAATAATAGTACTTGCCTCAAACAAACAACAAGACTCAAGTAAGTGCATATAAATGTTTAGTACCTTGTACATATGAAGTGCTCACTAAATTTAGATATCATTATTTGGGCCATTCTCCTAGGGTTCCTATTCTGGAGTTCAGTTGATTCTTTCTTGTGCTCTAGCACCAGCTTCCTGAGGGTCAGAAAGGCCTGAGTCCCGAGTCTATTAGTTGCAGGGCAAAGACAAACAATTAGGAAGATAGACTCTGAGCTCTGAGCAGAGACAGGAAGAAGCTTGAGAAAGGTCAGTAAGCAGGTGTCTGTGGGTTCAGGGGCTGTCACTGAGGACAGGAGAAGAATACCCAGTGTCAGGTGCTCTAACTCCGAGTGATGGCAGCATCTCTTCTCATTCTGTCTTCCCTACAGGAGTTTCTGTACAAGACGGCAGGCGGGATTTTCTTCTGGATTGGCCTGACCAAAGCAGGGAGTGAAGGGGAGTGGTACTGGGTGGATAACTCTCCATTCAACAAGGTCCAGAGTATGAAGTAAGGCCCCCAGAGACCTCCTTCCCAGCCTGACTTTTGTTTGGATCAGGGTCAGGGCAGAAGCCTGGGAGAAGATTCCCTCTGACTATAGCGTTTGTGATTCTTCCCTGTCCACTGGTGCCTAGAACTGAACCAAAATCCAGCTCACTTCTGACACTAATTGCCCGGGGGGGGGGGCATCTGTGGCCTCTCTGTACCCTCTGGGGTTTGGCAGCATGGCTGTCCAGCCAGCTTTGGCAGGGGGCCTGGCCTACATCTAGGTGTCCTAGTGTGGTTTGTGTGGAGTTATGAGAGAGGTGGGCCGGTTCAATCCTAATCTGAGATGATAGTAGGCTTAGAGATTGATAGCTCACTCATTCCCTTCCTCTCAGCCCTGGGTGCAAAAACTTGTGTCATTATTACCTGGGACCAAAGCTTGGATTTCCTTTCTTCATTCGAAATAGCTTTTCCTTTTTTTTTTTTTTTTTCATTTGATAGGTTCTGGAGTCCAGGTGAGCCCAACAATGCTAGGAACAATGAACATTGTGTCCATTTAGAGGTGTCCTCACTTCAGTCATGGAATGATGCCTCCTGTGACCATCAGCTCCTTTTTATCTGTAAACGTCATTATATTCCATCTGAACAATGACAGAACTGGCCCCCACGCTGGCACTTTGAGCCTCAGTGCTTTTCCAGACTCAAGGAAGTGCCATTCGTCCTCCACACTCCAAGTGACTTTGCACCTTAACTTTCCTTGCTTCAAAAGTGTCCCATAGCCGAAGCCGGTTTGGCTCAGCAGTAGAGCCTGAGGACTGAAAGGTCCCAGGTTCAATTCCAGGCAAGGCATGTACATTGGTTGCGGGCACAGCCCCGGTAGGGGGGTGTGCAAGAGGCAGCTGGTCGATCGACGTTTCTAGCTCTCTATCTCTCTCCCTTCCTCTCTGTAAAAAGTCAATAAAATATATTTAAAAAAAAAGAAGAAGAAGAATGATGACACAAATGCGGTCATATTTATTAAAAAAAAAAAAGTGTCCCATATGCACCTGGAGACTGTCTGCCTTGGCTGGAAGTTTTCAACTCCATAGAAGCAGGTGGGCTGGAAAGATATTGAGTTGAAATGGGAGGGGTTGGTGGAGAAAATTTAGAAATTCAAACTGCCTTATTAGATGGATCAGGACCTTTAATTTGGGGCATACCCTGGGGTTTTGCCAAGATCTGGGTGCTGTTGCTTTTGGAGTGTTGCTGCTTCTTCCTGGCTGAGCTAGGTAATGTGTGTGTCCACCTGCATACCTAGTTATTTTTTGAAAAAAGTATTATGCCTGCAATAGGGTGACAAGACTTGAGGGAGGTCAGAGTAGAGTCAGAGAGAGCCGATGGAAGATAACTGAGTCCCTTCAGAGAAGACTCAGCTTCATCACATGAAAGCTGCTTCAGATGCCCATGCAATTCTTCTCTACTGATACCCAGCAGTTTTCCAAGGATCCCCCAAATTCCCCGTTGCCTGTGTAGATGGCCGTGTTCTTTGGGAAGACTCTGCTCTTGGGGATCCTGTCCATGCCATGGCCCCATCATCCTCTTCATTGGCATCCTCTATGGTCTGACCCCTTCTTCCCTGGGACAGGCTCAACTGGTTCATATCAGGGGTTGACATGGAAACATGTTTCCTTTGGAGCTGGACCAGCATCGGGTGGTCCTTTCTGTCCCCGTCACTCAGTAAACTCTGAGGCTCTCTGCTCACCTCATGTCCTGCACCTCCTCTTTCTTCTGCATTTCCTGGCTTCACATGCAAAGGAAGTGGCCCTCAGTACCCGACGAGTTCACCTCCAAGCTTCAATAGAATAAAATGCTGCCTGGGTAAAGGCCTCTCTCTGTGTGCATGTTTCATTCCTGGGTGCACAGGTGAATGTGCAGGAAAGGCCATCTGCTTGCTAGAGGTGAAGTTCTGGGATGTCCTCAGGAACCAGTGGGGGTTCAAAATTACCAAGGAGTAGAACTATCCCACAGAATAAGACCAATGCTTATCCTTGGTTTTATCAAAGTGAAGGGGAGTGAGGTCTCCAGTGTCTGTTTCTTTAAAACAATATGTTTTTATTGTTGTTTTGTTGTTGTTGTTGTTTTTAGAGAAAGAGGATGGGAGAGGAAAAGAGAGAAACATTGATTGGGTACTTCCTGGGAATTGAGTCTGCAGCCTGGATATGTACCTTAACCAGGAATCGAACCAGTAACTTTTTGGTACACAGGACAGCCCTTAACCAACTAAGCCACACCGGCCAGGGTGGTCTGCAGTGTCTTGACTTTCTTGGTGGTCTTTCCTCTCAGATGTTTACTGGAACTTCTTCTATTCTCTGGTTTTACTCTCAAGGGGAAAACTCCTCAGGTTTCCTACTCTTCCCAGAACCCCGTTCACAGGAATTGGGTTCCAATCTCAGCCCAGTGGCTGAGGCAGGAATCAGGCAGCACCAGCAGGAGGGGAGGAGAGTGGAAGCAGAAAGGAGAACAGAGTCCTACAGGGGATACATATTTCTTCAATGAAATGGGCTCTCTTCCAGGCCATAGACTTCTTGTTATGACCTCACATGGTATAAGGGCACAAATCCCCTTTATGAGAATACCACCCTCATATCCTCATCACCTCCCAGAGGCCCCACTTGCTAATGCTACCAAATTGATGGTTAGGATTTCAGCATATGAATTTGGAGGGAACACAAACAGATCATTGCAGTCATTGTGTGCAGCCCACACTTAAGGATGATTGCATATCTAAGAAATGATATGTAATCCTTCTGTATGGGAGATTTATCTGTCTATTTATTCAAATATTTATTTATATATATGAATTAATAGATTTTGTACTTTTGGTTATAATCCAATAATACTATATATGTATATTTAAAATATGTATTTTATTGATTTTTTATAGAGAGGAAGGGAGAGGGAGAGAGAGTCAGAAACATTGATGAGAGAGAAACATCGATCAGCTGCCTCCTGCACACTCCCCACTGGGGATGTGCCCGCAACCTATGTACATGTCCTTGACCAGAATCAAACCTGGGACCTTCCAGTTCGCAGGCTGACGCTCTATCCACTGAGCCAAACCGGCTAAGGCAATACCATACATATTTTCTTGCTCAAGTCCTTCCAGCTTTGGGAGCTTTTTTCATTTGGCTCCTGTGTCCTTTTGATATATTTGTATCATTTAAAACAAAAACAACAAACACATCTCTTTACTTTCTGACTGTGTAAGATACCCCAGAATCATTTTGTAGATTTCCTGCTCCAGTCCTAGAATCAGACATTTCTTCAAAACATCCTGGCTTTTTTGTTTGTGTGGGTTTTTTTTTTGGTTTTTTTTTGAGAACGTTACTAGAAACCAAAATGTGGGAGTTGCTTCTCCTTGGCTGAGAGATCTAGGTAATGCAGGAATGGGCATCTAACTGGCTTTGGAAAAGATCATTACACATGCATTATGGTGACAGGATTTGAAGGAGGCAAGAATAGAGGCAGGGAGAACTAAAGTTAGAAGCCTAATTGGGTTACAGCGGGTGAGATGGTGGCCTGCACGGAGGCCTGTGATGGGAGAGATTACAGTTTATGATAAAGGCTGCAAACAAACAGCTGTAGGGATATACAGAGTGTGGTCAGGAAAGGCCCAGAGCACAAGAGCCTCTGTCCCCGAGGAATTGGGGAGCAATACCCTCCTGGCACATGGATGTGTTCACCAACTAGGAAACTCCTTGAAAGCTCCTCAGATCGCTCTCATTGTTTGTGAGCTTTTATAACTCAATTATAAAAGCCCCTTCTACCTGGAGGTGAGGTGGGATGGGTTGGGGTGGGATTGGAGAGGTAGGATTGCTCTATCTGGGACTACCTCCCACCTAGAAGCTATCTAAGGGTTCACCCCTAGTCACCTTATTAGCATAAACTTAAGGGTAGTTGAAAGGGGCTTGCTCTGAATAACAAAAACACTCGTATTACTCAGGAAATGTCATGGGCTTTAGGAGCTCTGATCCATGAACTGGGACAGAATCCACTATATGTTTCATTCTACCACAGACCCTTACCTGCCATGCCAGCTGTGAGGCCCTGAGTGGACAGTGAGGCCCTGAAAGGGTCTAGGGCTAGGATTAAGTCAGCCATGGGTCACAAGGAATTTGGTTCTGCAAAGCTGGGAAGAAGCCAAAACCGGTGTGGCTCAGTGGGTAGAGCATCAGCCTGCAGACTGAAGGGTCCCAGGTTCGATTCTGGTCAAGGGCATGTATAATACCTTGGTTGCAGGCACATCCCCTGTTGGGGGTGTGCAGGAGGCGGCTGATCGATGTTTCTCTCTCATCGATGTTTCTAGCTCTCAATCCCTCTCCCTTCCTCTCTGTAAAAAAAATCAATAAAATATCTTAAAAAAAAAAAAAAAAAAAAGCTGGGAAGGAACCTCGGATCTCCTCCTAAATTGCACATGAAAGTGTTGGTGATTTAGGGGCAGCGGCTAGTGTTTGGGGTCTACCCTGGAGAATAGATGTTGGGGGTGATGGGCCTAAGGAGAGGGTGAGTACTGGTGTGGACTGGGAAGAGGAAGAGGATAGGGCCTGGGCAGACTGGTGCCTAGGTGTCCTGGGGGGAGGGGCCTTACTGGGGTGCTTCTGCAGAGTCAGCGGGGAGGGGAGAAGGAGGAGGGCAGAGTTTAGGTGTGGTCAGGAGCATAAAAGTCCAGGGTATCTCAGCTTCCTTCCCATCACCACGACTGGCCCACAACACAAGCCTCAGGGGCTGAGGTGGGGAGCAGCACTGGAGGAGGAAGGAAGCAGAGATGAATGCTGTCAAGGCGCACTTCCGCAGAGACAACCAATCTGTCGCCCTGCACCCCCACGGTGAGGACACTGGGGGCTCAGCTGTCCTCAGTCAGGCACTGGCTTGCTTGTCCCCCAGCCCTCCGCCATTTTCTCAGCCCCCTCTTGGCAGCCCAGAGCTCCCTATGCTCATCGCTATGTCAACCTCCAGAACAAACAGGCAAGGGCAGAAGGTGGGCCGGGAGAGGACAGAGAGGCAGGGCACCCTCCAGTCTCTGCACAAAATCCCCAGACCTTCATTTAAGGATGGCAACCTGGCAAGAGAGAGCATGAACTTAGAATTCTGAGGGACCTGGTTTTGAATCCCATCTCTGTACCCCATGAGGTTCAGGGGATCAGCTCTCAGACTCTTGGCACAGCCCTTCTTAGGACACGGACAGAGGGTTTCCAGGACTGATTCATGTCCATTTGTGGAGGAGGCAGCAGCCCCAAAGACCTGTGAGTCTTGCTCTGGTCAGGATTCATGGGCGAGATTCTGGGACTCTGAGGTCAGGATTCTTGCTCTCTCCTTCCCATCCTGCCTCCCTTCATCCTTCCCTCTTCTTTCATTCAAATCATACTTCTGTTGCCCTCCCTGCCCAGGCTAGGCTCTGTACCCTGTACACCTTCTCCAGCCTTTGTGTTTCTACAAGGCTTCATTCCCCTTCTCCATGATAAGTGCAGGTGTTCTCATCCTCATCAGACAGGCCAGGAGCCTGAGCCTGAGGGGCTAACTCTTCTCCTGGACACTGGTGTCTCCCCTACAGGCCTGGACTCCTCGGCAGTGGCTCCAGCAGCCCCCAAGATGTCAAGGCCTGTTCTGGCTGGCCTGGTATTTATGGTCCTGATCATTGCCATCTCTTTTACGGCTCTCTTTTACGGTAAGTTCCTAGGTAATCGGAACCCCACAGACACTCTCTTTACTGGAAAGAAGCCACTGACCAAGAGGGGCCTCCAAAAAGCAGAGGCCCAAGAGCAGAAGCTCTGAGGGGTACTGGGTGCCACCTGACTGGGGGAGGGGGTAACCCGTTCTCAAGCTCAATGCTAAATGCTAAAGGATTGTGCTGACCCAGGAATGGGGTGTCTCAGTTCTACAGAAACCAAGACCTGCACCAGAGTCCTATGCCTACTCACAAGAGTTTCTTGGAGACAACATTACCTGGCAGTTACCTGTGGAACCCGACAGTGAGTAGCCACAGTGGTGCGGATGGGTGGGAGGGAGCTGGGGCATCTGAGTGCCAGACCCTAGGATGGGCCTCTCCCCTAACACTCCCTGCCCTTGAATGAGTGTCACTATCACCGAAAGGCATGATTTTTTTTTTTAAGAGAACAGTTTTATTGCGGTATAATTGGCACATAATAAAATACCCATATTTAAAATGTACAATCTAAGAACTTTTGACATATGTATATATTCATAAACCAGAAACCACAATCAAGATAATGAACATATTCATTATCCTCCTCCCAAATTTACTTGTGCCATTTGCCATCGTTCCCTATCTCCTCCTCTCTTCATCCCCAGGTGACCACGGATCTACTTGCTGTAATATAGATCACTTGGCTTTTTCTAGAGTTTCATATAAAATGGATCATGTAATGTGTACTCTTTTTTTGAGTACTCTTTATCGGTCATGTGATTTGCAAATATTTTCTCTCAGTCCATGGCTTATCTTTTCATTCTCTTAACAAGATTTGAATTTTGATTATGTATAATTTATAGATTTCTTTCTTTTATGGGTTGTGCTTTTGGTCTCATATCTGAGAAATCTTTGCCTATGCCAGGGTCACAAAGACGTCCTGGGTGTTTTCTTCTGGAAATGTTATAGTTTTGGGTTTTACGTTGAGGCCTATGATTAATTTTGAGTTAATTTTTGTATATGAGATTCATTTTTTTGGCATCTGGATATACAATTGTTTCAGTATCATTTGTTGAAACAATTATCCTTTCTCCTCAAATTGCCTTTGTATTTTCATTGAAATCGATTGTTCATACATGTATGAGTGTATTTCTGGAACATAATATTTTCTATTCTGTTCCATTGGTTTACAATGGAACAGCATCAGCCTGGCCTGCGCCCTTTTGCAGTCTGGGACTCCTTGGGAAATGACTGACGGATGGCTTTGGACTGCTCCGGCCTGGGGAGTGGGCTAAGCCATCAGTGGACATCCTTAGCTCTGCTGCAGAGGCAGGAGAGGCTCCCACCACTGCCCCTGCACTCGCCAGCTGCCGGGCTTCTAGCTGAGCAGCTTTCCCTCTGTGGGAGTGCACTGACCCAGGCAACTCCTGTGTTGAGTGTTTGCCCCCTGGTGATCAGTGCACGTCATAGCCATCGGTCGATCCAGTTTTTGGTTTATTTGCATATTACCCTTTTATTATATAGGATTTGTCTATTAATATGACTCTTGATAGCAGCTAGTTTACTGTAAGTAAACAGGTAGCTTGAGGAGCACTCAGGGCTGTGTCACTGACATTCCCCTTGGAAAATTCAAGAACACTCTGGTTGGCTCCATATAACTAATGTTTCCCTATGTAATGGGCCTCTTTGGCTGCCTTCTCCGTCTCCTCCCTCCAGATCCCTACCACTTTGGGGTGGCAGAGTTACAAAAGACCCTCCAGGTGTTTAAAGACCACGTGGAGAACTCCAGTACCTGGACTGCAGAGATCCAGATATTGATGTGCAGAGTGGATAATGTCAGTTCTCAGATCCAGATGCTCAGTGGTCATCTGAAAAACGCCAGTGCTGACATCCAGATGGTAAAAGGCATTCAAAAAGAAGCTAGTACCTTGAGCTTCCAGGCCCAGATGTTAAAAAGTTCCTTGGACAGGGCCAGTGCTGAGATCCAAAGACAAAAGGGGGATATGGAAAAGGCAAATGCTTTAAATTCCCAGGCCCAGAGTTTCTTAAAAACCAGTTTAGAAAACACCAGCTTTGAGCTCAACGTGTTAAGCAGAGGCTTAGAAAATACCAACAGTGAAATTCAGGCGTTGAAGGCAGGGTTGAAAATGGCAAATGCCCAGGCCCAATTGGCAAACAATAGTTTAAAGGATGCTAATGCTCAGATCCTGGTTTTAAGAGGCAATCTGGATAGTGTCAATCATTTAAGGGACCAGAATCAGGTTTTAAGTGATAGTTTGAAAAGAACCAATGCTGAGATTCAGAAGCTAAAGGGAAGCCTGCAAAATGCAAGTAACTTAAACTCCCAGACCCAGACCCTTATAAGAGGCAGTTTAGACAACACTACTGCTGAGATCCAGTCATTAAGAGGTCATTTGGAAAGGGCTGGCAATGAGATTCACTTGTTAAAAAGTGATGTGGAAACAGCCACCACCCAGACCCAAATAGCAAATGGTCGCCTAGAGCAGACCAATGCTCAGATCCAAGGAATGAAAACACAACTGGAAAACACCAATGCCTTACATTCCAATATTCAGGTGTTAAGCGATCAGTTGGAAAATGCCAGCAAAGAGATACAAATCCTGAAACAAGGAATGAAGGATGCTGCGACCTTACAGTCCAAGACCCGGATGCTAGAGAGCAATCTGCAGAAGGCCAATGCCGAGGTTCAGAGGTTAAAAGGGGAGCTAGAGAGCACTAAAGCACTAACTGTGAAAGTCCAGGAGCAGCAGAGTAGCCTGGAGACCCTCCGAGCAGCCTTTGCTTCGCAGGAGCAGCTACATAAATCCCAAAGTAAGTGGGAGGGAGGGGTTGGCCTAGGGAAGGTACAGTCTCTTGGGAGGATTGAGTCTCCTGTCCCTTTGGCCTTTTGCTTACTTCACCAGGCATCCCTCTAAGAAGAAGTATGGGTACTTTAAAGGGGTCAAATCCAACCAAATAGGGTTCATGTGCCCAGGCAGTGGTGGAAGTGGCATAGGCAGCAGAGTCCCTGCATTCAAGATGCTTATCATCTGGATAGACTGATACTTGGGGAGGGGAGGGACTATATAGTGACGGTGTGTGGAAAGACAGCGGGTGCTAGTGGGGCCAGACAGCTGTATTTCTGACGTCCTGCTATCACTAACTCTGATCAAGTTGCTTACCTTCCATTTTCTCATCTGCAAAGTGAGGACAATAATATTCACCTCACAGGGAGGATTAAATGAGTTTACTTACACATATAAAGCATTTAACACAGTATTCAGCATTCCTGCGTTCATCTGACAAAAAAAAAAAAAATTGAGGCCCTATTATGTATCAGGGGCATAAAGATGAATAAGGTGTGATGTCAGCCCTGGACGCTCACAGGCTGGTAGAGCAGCCTTGCATGAAAGGCATGCAGAGAAGCAGAGAGGCGTTAAGAGTGTTATGTGAGAGCAGGCCTAGGAACCGGGGGTGGGCAAGAGGAAAAGAAGGGAAAGAGAAATCTTCTGGGGGCTGATGTCCTTGGTGTAGAGAAGGAATCTTTCAGGGGGCACGGGGAGGAAATCTTTCAGAGGAGAAAAGATCAAAAGATGTTTTGTTGAGAAGATGGCTCTTGAAGTTAATCCTGGAAAACTAGTAGGTGTTTGACAAACAAATAGGGTAAGAAAGTAGCAGGTTCCCAGGCATGGACATGTGAAGCCACGAGGTTCAGGAAACTTCAAGCAGCTTGTCTGACTGGACTGTGGCCAAGAGGGCAGTTGATGAAGTACAGGCTGAAAGGACAGTAGGTGGGGGGCAGAATGGTGATATCAAATTATTTAAATGCAACCACAGCATGAATTTCATTTTACCTTGTGATCCAGTATAATTATGTGTCACACACACACACACACACACACACACACACCACAACAAAACTTTTACCATACAAATGCACCATGATATTTCATAGTTTATTCTCTTTAAAAAAAAATATATATATATATTTTATTGATTATTTTACAAAGAGGAAGGGAGAGGGATAGAGAGTTAGAAACATTAATGATCAGCTGCCTCCTGCATACCTCCTACTGGGGATGTGCTCGCAACCAAGGTATATGCCCTTGACCAGAATCGAACCGGGGACCTTTCAGTCCAGTCCGAAGGCTGACGCTCTATCCACTGAGCCAAACCAGTTAAGGCTCATAGTTTATTCTTAAAAAACAAAAAACACCTTGATACAACCCACTATTGGGTGATAACTGAGTTTGAAAGACACTGTGCTGGAAAGGTAGGCACACCTGGAGAGGGACTGGCTAGATGTGGAAGGCCTCTGAGCTTGGCTTTCACTCTTCAGGGAATGAGTATCTACCCAAGGGCTTCAAGGAGCTGACTAGAGAGGTGTCCTGCTGAGATGGGGGATAAAGCAGAAGAGCAGCAAGACTTGGAGATGCTTAGTCAGAGATGCTCGGGACGTGACCTGCAGGCTATCTGGAGTGTAGGAGAGAGGTCCTGGCTGCAGACATAGATGTGGGAGCCCTGGAATGTTGGTTCTGGTGATGGCAATGGGAGTGAAGGTGGGGTTTGCATGAGATAAAATGCTTTATGCAAAGAAGGCTGAGGGTGGAAACAGGAAACCAGCCTTCAGGTGCCACAAGGGAAAGAGATGTTTTTGGTTTTTTGAATATACTTTTGTTGATTTTAGAGAGAGGAAGGGAGAGGGAGAGAAAGATTGAAACATCAGTGATGGGAGAGAATCATTGATTGGTTGCCTCCTGCATGCCCTACACTGGGGATCAGGCCTGCAACCCAGGCATGTGCCCCAACCAGGAATTGAACCATGACTTCTTGGTTCATAGGTTGATGCTCAACCACTGAGCCACACTGGCTGGGCATGAATGTGGAATAAAAGAATAAATGGATGAATAAGGGAGTCTGTGTGGCACCATTTCGAAGAGCTGTAGGTGTAGATGATGTTAAGGAGCAGAGTGCCATGGCAGGGAGGGACACAGGAGCTGAGAGACTCAGAGTTTGTGCTCAGGGAGGAGCTAACTGAAATTGTGAAGTCAGGCAGACCAGGTGATGACAAGATCCCAGGTATGGTCCTGGGTGTGGGCAGCTGAAGTGGATGGAGATGAAGTCAAGGAAATGAGTGATGCCATGGGGTGGCTGAGAAATCTCCCCGTAGGGAGATGGCAGGAAATTGAGGTGCAGAGGACTGTCAGGTGATAGCAATGAGTTGGGAAACAGGGTAATATACCCAGAAAGCACGAGTCCACAAAGCTGCCTGAGGATCCCTGGAGTAAGATGTTCCTGGCTGCACCGCCCTTACATAGCGGGTAGTAGGCTGGGGGTGCAGCCTCCCGGGCCTTGCATGACAAAAAGCATTGCCTGGTCTTGTGATACCCAGTGGTCAGTCCCTGGAGAGGTCAGGAAGCCAGATATCCACAGCCAGCCCCTGGTTCTCGCTCATCCCCAACCTTTGCTCCAGATGAACTTCTCCAGTTGATCCTGCAAGGCTGGAAGGTCTACGGCAGCAACATGTATTACTTTTCTCATGCCATGAAGTCTTGGCAGGAGGCTGAGGAGTCCTGTGTGTCCCAGGGAGCCCACTTGGCCTCCGTGACTTCTGCAGAGGAGAAGGTCAGCGCTTTGGGTTTGGGATGGTGCTGATGGGGTGGATATAGGATAAGGGCCATTGATACTTTGGCTTTGCCCCTCTCAGAGTAGTTGTGGCACAAACTTTCGTGTCATCTTATCAGTTAGGGAGCAAATATTGATTGAGTTCCAGTGTCCATCTTGCACGGGAGATTGAAGCACTGACAGCAAACCCCAAAGTCCTCATTGAATGAGGACCACATCCAGAAGCCCACAGATGTCAGCAGTGAGGAAAGGGAGGTGGCACCAGGTGACTGCCCTTAAAGTGTTGGAAACATCCTTCCCTCCCATCCCCTCATTTAGCCCCTCAGCCTCCTCTCTGGTTGTCAATCTTGATTTTAACATCAGTTAATCCAATGGCTATGGAGGGTCCATGAACAGAGACCCAGGCTTCTGGGCAAGGCCAGGTGCACAATACGAGTTTGAGGACCACCAAAGGCATTGTAGTTTTGGTGGCTCATTTGCCAAAGGTACTTAGAATTTACTAGGGTTTTTGACAAAGTAGGTTTGGCATAATTCATTTTATAGAACTGCCCATCCCTGGGTTATCCTGAGACTGCTCTTGTATGTCTGTCAAAAGACAAGCTATTTTGTAAAAACAAAACTTCTTAATAAACCATGGCCAGGTCTCCAGGACCTTCTCTCTCTCTCTCTCTCTCTCTCTCTCTCTCTCTCTCTCTCTCTCTCATAACCCAGTCTTGTTGTCTCAGTAAAGCCACACTCTTCATTAAGTCAACATGGGAGAAGCTGAACTTCCCTTGAGGGGACCTGGCTGCTGCCCTAGATCCTGGATAAACCATGGGAGGTGCAGGGAGGGACCCGGCTCCTTCAGAGGAGTGGGCTGCATGCCCTGGAACCAGGAGGCAGAGCCCTGGACTCCTCTTCTCCATGGCTGGGGGAACCAGCTCCTCACTCGGGGTCATGCCTTTTCTTTACAGGCATATCTGACAGAGATCACACGGTCCAGCTACTACTGGATTGGCCTCACCGACAGGGACAGGGAGGGCTCTTGGCGCTGGATTGATGGGACACCATTCAATTATGCCAGCAGCAAAGCGTGAGTCCCGTCACTGTCTGGTGTTGTCCCAGGTACTGTCTTGGGAGGGCCTGCTTAGTGATTCCCTGTCCTGTGTGTGTATACCTGCCCACTGAGTGTTAGTGTTATATGTGTGACATGTGTATGAAATGTGTTTGATGTGTGTATGGTGTATGTGATGTGTACATGCAGTGTGTGTGTGATTTTTTATGATGTGTGTGTGTACAGTATGAGTTTATGACTATGTGTGATGTATGGGTGATATGTTTGTGCATGTGTTATGTGCATGATGTGTGTGATGTCTATGGTGTGTGTGTGTGTACACATATTTGCCTGAACCCCTTCTCATGGTCTTGGGGTTGGCAGGCAGCACATAAGAAGACCTTCCTGTTTATTTGTTTGTTTCGCCTGTCTACACCACATAGGCCTGGTCCCCCATCACACGGTATCTAAATGTGAAATCCGAGGAAGGGGCTCATAGCTTCAGACACCCTTTCTCTCTCTTGATCCTCAGTAACTAAGGACAACCTCAGCAGAGCACCCTGATGCTGAGTCTGGGCCCAGCTTTGTTCCCATCCTGGGGCCACCAGGGAATTAGGGACCCATGTCACTTCAGCTGCTTATGCCACAGTGGAGGCAGTGGTGTGTGTGTGTGTTGAGGAGGGGGGGCCCTTCTTTCATCTAGCCTTCTTCTTTCCAGGTTTTGGTTCACTAATCAGCCAGACAACTGGCAACACAGGGATGGGCAGGACGAAGATTGTGTTCATCTTCAGCAGTATTGGAATGACAACAACTGCAATGCCCTCCATCAGTGGATCTGCAAGAAGCCCATCAGTCAGGGTGTGGCCTGAAGTAAGCCAGATCTAAGGGCTCCTGCCAGCTCTGGACCCTTTCCAACACGATGTCCTGTGGAGCCTCTGAACCCATCTTGTTCTCCTGGGCCTTCCGTTTGGCCCTTTGTGTTTCCTGCCCTGTCCTTTTATTTAACCCGTCCAACACGCTTACCTCGCAGGACCCTGTGGGATGAACAGCTCCTAGAGGCAAGAGCCTTGCTGTGCTTCTGTATCTGCAACCAGTGCAGGCCTGTCAGACAGCAGGTCTTCAATAAACACTTGTGGACGAACAGAAGCTTTGTGCTTGTCTCTGCGACAGTCACCACACTCCCTTCTCCCGGGGTTGGTTCTCCTTCCTCAGTGTCCCTTCTCCTGAAACAAGCCATGGCCATCGCACGTGTTCCCTGCATTTCCTTTGCTACAGATGGGCTGGGGCTGGATTTTCCCAGGCCTTCAAACCACTCCCAAACCTCTCTCTCCTGTGGCTGGTCTCATCTTGTCTTCAGACTGTTACTATCTCTGGCTTTGGCCTCATCTTGTGACCCCATTCATCCTTCCTGGGACTACTCAGCTTTCTGCCAGCTCAGTTTAGAATAAGAATTTCTGAGCAGTTCTTTGCCCTGCCATGTGGTGTCCCCCCACCCTCTGCATGCAGAGGGAACATTGACATTTCTGGAGTGCTTTCACTGTATAGCTCTCTCCCCTTTGTACTCCTTCCCAAATTCAAGCACTCTGTCTCTCCATACCCCCATTTTTCTCTCTCCAGCTTAATGAGACTGACATGCCCCCGTGGGGCCCTCTTCCCTGCACTGTGGTCTGAAAAGAGTGTTAAGGAAGAAACCCTGGAGTGTTATGGGCTCACCTGGTCTGCTTCCCCATCCAGTAGTTCGAATCACAGTTTTGCTCTGTTGTCCAATGTCTGAAAATAATTGTTTCGTGTATTGTGTCCAGTTTTCTAGTTGCTTACAGCGAAGGGCTGGTCCAGTTACTCCATTTTGATCAGAAATGGAAATATGTTTATCTTTTATGATATCTACGGTTGAATCAAACTTCAATCTGTGTGAATTCATATTTTCGTTTTGGCTTTTTCTTTTATGGATTCTTAGGTTTTTTTGTTTTTTGTTTTTTTTTAAATTAATCTTAGAGACTTCTTCTCCATCCCAGGATTGAAATAAAAATTTGCTGTATTTCTTCTACTACTTTTAGATAGCTTTATTTTTTACATTTACATTACTAAGCCATCTGGAATTTTCTCAACTATCATTAAATGATAACATACTCTTTTTCACTCACTTGAAAAGCCAACTTTTTCAAATACAAAACCACAAGTTCATTTCTGAAGTCTTGATTGCATTTCAATGAATTAATTCCCCTTTCCTTTACGGAAAACATGTTGTTGTAATTATTGTAGTTTTATAATATGTTTGGTTATCTAGCAGGGCGAGTCTCCTTTAAGTTTTTCAAAAGTTTTTAGATCTTCATGGGACAAACTTGGTGATTGGTGGGTTTATTGAAGGGCATGAAGTGGCTAGCTGCATTTCTTCATCAGAGTATCCCTGCATTTCTGATTTCAGTTCCTCCAAGTGAGTCAGGATAGTAAGAATCTAGGGAGATTCCTTGACAAGTAGAATAAGGGAAACTGAGACAATATAATTAAGGCAAAAAATCTGAGCAATTTACATCCAGCTAATGAATCACAAGGTTTTATCTTTCCTAACAAAGGGCACTAAGGAGCAAATGGTTTACATATTCCACACCTCCCGGAGACAAAACAGCCTCAGTCCTGATCCCTCTTCAATGATGTTCTTGATGACGTTCTTTAAAAATGAAACTAATCAGAAAATCCCCCCCGACATTTTGATGAATCAACAGATTGAAGGACATACCTGAAAAGCTAATGACTATTTGTTAAGAATAGGAATTTCTGAGTCTCCTCTGAGACCTCCCTAGGGAATCTGGCCAAAGAAAGATAAGATGCCTCAAGACAAAGGATCCATGGCATGCTCTCTCGCAAGAGCACACCCTCTCCTTGTATCTCTGCTGTTTGCTCCTAAACTCCAAGGGACCCCACAAGACTTGCAACCAGGGGAGCAGCGGTCAGTGGCAGCTTGACCTGAACTAATCCCCTAAATCAGTCTCTAAGGCCCCCTTTTCTCTGACTTTTCCTCTCTTGCTGCTTCTTTTACCTTAAGCCTTCCCTTTATTTCACTGTCCCCAGCTTTACAAAACATACTCTCAAGAGCCACCTGGACCATGCTGTGAAATCTTTCCTGCACAAAATCAAGAACCCACACACGACTAACAAGCCCTAGGCAGACCCACCCCAGGCCCAGACCCCATACAGTACCACAAGGGTAACACACTCCTCAGAAAGAAATTCTTCAGTATTTGGCCTGGGAAATAGAAGCTGAGTGGCGAGCAGTCTATAGGCCCAGAGGGTAAAGGGGGCCGGGCAGCTCACAGTTTCATATATAGAGGCCCCTTAAGCTCCCTGCTTCAGTCTGGCTGTGCAAACCTCTCTGGATATAAACCACCCTTCTGCAATACAGGCAGTGGGGTGCTGCCTGGTTACTGAAGGTGGAGGAGGAGATGAGTAAGGCAGTTCTTCTGTTTTCAGTCTGCCCTGCCCCCCTGCCTTCGGAGGTGACAGGTACTTCTGAATTCACCGAGTTGTCCTGATTTTATTCACTACCCCTATCCAGACACTACTACTGTGGTAGAGTTCCATTTTCTCAGTTTTGCTGAGTCAGCTACCAGTCCTCCATTCACTCCCAGCTTCCAAATTTTGTTGAAATGCCCTGTCTGCTATTGATTCTTCCTCTGTCATCCTGTGTTTTTCTCATTTTGATTTCTTCACTGTCATTAAAGTAGAGTTTTGGAGAAAAACAGACATGAATATGTGCATTTTTATTTTTAGGATTTTCCTGGCTTATATACAATATAACAGCAGCCAGTGTTAAATAATACGTCCTGCTTTTTTTGAAATCTACTGTGATTTTCTTTTGGTCTTGTATATGCTCACTTTTTATTAAAAAGTTCCATAGGCATATTTATTACATTAGGCTTGTGATTGTTATTATTTAGATGTTCTATATCCTCATTTATAATTTGCCTGCCCAACCTATCAAATTTTATCAAAGGATAAAAAAACAAACAAACTCTTGCATGTGTAACATTAATCTATCTGTATCATTTTATCACAGTCTTGTATTTATAAAGCTTTTGATTCACATATTTCAGAGTTCCTTTGTTTTATGACTAAGGATTCATAACCTCTAAATCTACTTGAAGAATTTTGCTTTTTATCAATATTCATTCAATCAAGGAATATTTACTGTGCCTTTACTATGTACCAAGCACTTTTCTAGGTTTTTGGGATTCAACAGTGAAACAAACAAATAAAAGTCCCAGCCCCCATGTAGCTGGTATTCTAGTAGAAGCAGGGATACCCAGCCCCTCACAGTCACAGCAAGGAGTCCTGTGGAGCTTGAAACCTGAGGGAGGTGACATTCTGGAGTAGCAGGCCGCTCTGCATCATCAATCCAGCCAACCACAGCCTGTGGTCCAAAAGTAATGGGTCAGGGACAAATAAACATGAAGGATTCTCTCCCGCTCACTCCAGAGTCAGTTCTCAGGCCTGGGCTGGCCCTGTCTCTCTTCCCAGGGAGGTTCTGAAGGCGGCAATTTCCCCAAGAGGGAGTCAGAATGGCAGAGGAACCAAGTTGTCTGCAGACTGAGTGGAGCCATCTGAGGAGCCAGAGTGAAGCCCTCAGCTATCCTGAGGGGAAGTGGCCAGTTCTCACCCTGGAGGGCCTGCCCACCCTCCCTGTCTCTGCTGCGGAAACCCTGTACAGCTGCCCCTTGTGGTGACCATGGATTGTGTTGGTGGCAGTAGCAGGCTCTGACAGACAACTGTCACCACATGGGCTGTGCTGTTGGCACCTTGATGTCCGGGAGCCTTTTCTCCTGGAGCCATGGTTTCCAGTCTTTCCTGGAAACAAGGACCCAACCTGATCGAGACTGGGCTCTCACACTGTGACTTAGGGGACAGCCTGACTCTGGCAGAGGGGGAAGAAGCATAGACTTCTTTGCTGTCATGAAATGACCTCCCAGGCCTGCTTTTCTGGGGGCAGGGGACAACTTCTCAGGCAGAGAGTGAACACATTCCGGAAGATGTCTCAGCATTTTGAGGATGAGGAAAGGCACTTGTTTAGAGGAAAATGTGCCCATGTCATAGTCAGCAACTCTGAGTGTCCTCTACTAACACTTGCTCCCACACACTGTACCCAGATTTAGGCCTGAGCCTTGGCCCAGTCCCCCCAGTATGCCTGCACCGTGCCTGCCAGAAAGACCCTCTCCCTTTGTATTGTCCTCACTTAGAAGAGCCAGTAATACGTCACTCTAACTCTATCTGCTGCCAGCAATTCCTGCAGCTCAAAGCCAACCAATCCCATGGTCAATGAAGGCCCCAGGAAAAATCACAGAAGAGTAAGGATGCCTGGGTTGCTCTTGGGAAGGGTGATTTAGGATAGAAAAGGGACCTGCAGGACAAGGGTCTTCACAGCGCAAATTGCCTCTTAGCTCTCCTATCTTTCCCAAATCAGCCTGCACCCAACTGCTTCTTGACTCTCTCTTAAGCTCTGCTTTTGTTGTAATCTTAACTTTCTTATATCTGACAGGCATTTCCCATTCCCAGCTGTATCCGTCCCAGGGCTGGATTCCAGGCCCTCTTCAAGGTGGCCCCAATGAGCCTTTCTTCATATCTCAGCTACCAGGCCATGGGAACCAAGCCCTGTGCTCCAGCATCCTCTCAGCCAGCTCTGATTGCAGCTTTTGCACTGGTGCTCAGAACATCCCTCTGCACGAGTCCCTTAGGATTTATCTGTACAATGGCTGAATTTCTGGACGTTCTGCCTGGCTCATAAATCATCTCTGCTGCTATCACCATTGCTCACAGGACAGTGGGAATTACGTGAATCAGGAGAGTGGGGGCTATAGACCCAGGTTCTGTGGTCAGA